CGGCACGGCTTCTCCCCGAACCCGCCCCCCTCACGCTTTTGGTTGACACAGTCGCGAGGCGCATCAGAGGTATTCAGAGTAAGTAACAACACTACATGTTTCTATTTTCCCGTTTACAGTCATAAAACCTATTTTTACAACCGTCGTTTTGGCGTCAACTTTTACATTACGGTATACAGTCGGCCACTTCAGTCTGCATAAAGTTAGCAAGCCAGCATTGCTAATGCTATCAGGTCTAGGTTAAATACACGTTATTATATTAATCAATGTCAACAGCCATGTGTTATACATCCGATTGACAACAGTAATTTAAATAAGTTGTTAAACGACTCTTGTATGAATGGGCATGTTGTAATTAGTAACTACACTTCTGTGAGCAGTGGTACATTAGTCATACAGCATACTGTATACACAGAGGTGGGAAGTAACTAAGAACATTTACTCAAGTACTGTACTTAAGTAGAATTTTGAGATACTTGTACTTCACTTGAGTGTTTCCATATTTGTCTACTGTGTACTTCTACTCCACTACAATTCAGAGGTAAATGGTGTACTTCTACTCCACTACAATTCAGAGGTACATGGTGTACTTCTACTCCACTACAATTCAGAGGTAAATGGTGTACTTTTACTCCACTACAATTCAGAGATAAATGGTGTACTTCTACTCCACTACAATTCAGAGGTACATGGTGTACTTCTACTCCACTACAATTCAGAGGTAAATGGTGTACTTTTACTCCACTACAGTTCAGAGGTAAATGGTGTACATTTACTCCACTACATGTGTTTAATAGCTTACCTTTAGTTACTTTACAGATTTGGTTAAGATGCCTATTGGTTACTGGTGGCGTTTTATGAGTTTATGTTTATCAGTTTATTTGTTCATATAGACACCTAAAGTATATCATATATTATATGACATAAATATCTTTATGTGAGATAAGGGATCGTTGCTCAGTATGATATGATAAAGTGTGTTATATGCTCCAGGAAGGATACAGTATATTGTTGAATATATATTAAAGATAGCTATATACTGTATATAACATTACATTAATTGTAATTTAATATACATACATCAATCATTTATGGATAAAAGGATAACTTCACCATTTATGAACATCATGTGTTTATACATGATTATATGTGTAGATAACCTGTATAAATAATGGTTAACATGTATCAGTGTTGTTCGCTTTGCAGTGTAGTTCTCTCTAACACTTGAATTGTTATTTTACTTAAAGTTTAGATGATCACTAAACCTATAAGCCATAAAGAAATGGGAGATGCAGAATGGATGGGCTTTGGCCTTCAGGAGGGATGAACCCGCTCCAAGGAAACAGAAGTGACGTGACCTCTGTCAGAAGGTAAAGTATAGAAACATATGTACATCTTACTTATTATTCACAAATGATAAGTATATTACTGAACATTTACAATTGACTGGTGCAAACATTATCAATCAAATGATTTACACTGAGTGACTCACTCCAGACTAAAACATAATGATGATAGTTTCAGATTAAGAAATGCCTCATGCATACATTTTATATCACACCCCCAGTAGTTACCCCCAGAGCCCAGCCTCCTCCCAAGCAGTCTCTGGGTGCTGTCCATGTACGGCAGGGATATCCTCTCCCACATGGACCATATCAAGGCCAGCATCACCTCCACATTTAGTTCCATCTTAAAGATGGACTCAACCAAAAAGGTCAAATATAACGTGACTGTGTATTTGATTTCCATGTTTGTTAAACTCTCTTATAAACAATAACATTAAAAACTAGTTTTTATTATAAATGTGTTCGGTTATAAATCTGGAAACATTAACTGCTATAGATCATTTCTAATAAATGCCTCAACTTCGCTGTTGTCCCATTCCAGATCACAAAGCACCAAAGCAAGGTGGAGCAGCGCTTCCCTGCTCCACCCTCTGGCCCTCAGGTGGAGATGTAGCTCTTCCCTGCTCCACCCTCAGGTCCACAGGTGGTGTTGCAGCTCTTCCCTGCTCCACCTTTGGGCTCCATGATATTTACACCAGTGAGCTCACAGGTTCCTGTCCTGGTCGCTGCTCCACAGGCTCTGAATGCCAGCCTCTCTCTGCTGTTCCTGCTCCTAGTCCTGCTCCTGCTCCATACAGCCACAAACTGACCCGCAAAGTACTGCCCAACACGTGTGAAGGTGTGGGAGCTTTGGGACAGCGGACACTGGACCCAGCCAGTACAGGGAGTAGTGAACTACATTGTGCCAAAGGAGCAGTGGTTGGCGGACATAACAACATGTATCTCCCCCCCACCAGAGGCATGGACACTGGACACTGATTTATGTATATAGTTCGGTGTATAGTTTGATATTTATTTATATATATGATATGTATATATTTTATTAAGTTTATGATAATGTTTATTTGATGTTAAAACTCATTTAGAGTGTTATTTTGTTATACTGCACCTTACTTACTTTTAAGGGTTGTTTTACATTGTATTAAGTTGAAGTACTTTAAAATAAAGGTTTGGCTCTATCAAGTACGTGACTGTCCAATAATTGAGTGGAGTGCTATGTTTAGAATTTCTATATGTTTTCTCTTTGTTAAAAGACAGACATTATAACACCAATAGCTTCTTAGTTCATATTACATGTAATGGTTACATTTCATTATTTATCCACAGCACACAAACCATGAGCTTCAATACAGGTCCATATTGGTTACTTCAAAACTATCCCTGATAAAGAAAATAATAATAATTGTATGTAATAAACTTGAAAGAAGTAGATACGTTTTACTTAATATTTATTAGAAATATATAATATTTAATAGAAATGTGTTAATAGTTAACTGCATAACACAAGTGTATTAGTCAACAAACGCATACTTTGTTGGTCTTTATTAAAGTATTTCTGTATATAAATACTTGTACATGCTACAGAAGGGAAACAGGGAGCCAGAGAATAGTTTTTTTCTCCTCTTTTTCTCTTTTTCCTCTCTTTTTCCCTCTTTTTTCTTCTTCCCCCTTCTTCCCCCTTCTTCTCCTTTCTTCCCCCCCCTTGCAAGACTATTGTTCCCCAACTGTGGCGCAGTTTGTTGTGCGTTGGTATTGGGATCAGGGGGTCACAGGTTCAAACCCCACTGCAGTCAGCATGTCGTTGTGTCCCTGAGACACTTCACCCCAAATTGCTCCTGTGGGGATTGTCCACAGTATTGAGTATGTAAGTCGCTTTGGATAAAAGCGTCTAACAAGTGACATGTAATGTACTGTAATGTAAGATGTCAGTTTTTGAAGGATGTTCTTGCTGTTCATTTAGCTCTTTTATCATCTCTTCATCAATGTTTTCCCCATCACTCCTCATCCATTGATTATCCCTTTGCAACGAAATCTATACGCCTGAAATACATAGTCTCCGCAGAGGGATTAAAAACCCTATCCCTGTACCGTGCATTACATCTCAACATGCTGTCTGATGATTCAATCGTACAGCTTCCTCCGCCTGTGTGTTCCTCTGCTTCCGTGTCTGATTGGTTGTTGTTCAAACGTGCATTCTGCCTTTAACACGCATGCTCTTTTTCTTCAGCTAAGCCCTGTTTATTCACACATGGCTACAACTCCTGTCAGCCACAAACCTCCAGATGTTATTTGTTGGAAGCATAAGGCCCGGGGCTTTTTCCATTGTGTTGCGGATTAGAAAAACACAGTGCTTTTTTTTTTTTAAAACAGATATAATGAATATGAAGCCTCCAGCAGTAGTAATAGTTGGCACCATGTGAGAAAACAGCGTGAGAAGACAACATGGCAACACAACACAAAATAAGTGAAGAAACCCAATGTGAAAAACACAAACTAATAACCTGTGGGTGAAAGAGGAACTGTTTGGGGACGGAGGGAGGAAAGACAGTTCTAGTAGCATGCATGTTGCATATTATAGTAATTATAGACATAGTGATGATTGATATGTTTTGTTTGTTTTACCCAACAAGCATTGCAATGTAACGGTTATAGTCTATTGCTTCTGAAAAAGTGATACAAAACGGTACAATCACAATTTTTAATCCAGGTAATAATATGAACAATGGCACTCAAAGAGGCCCTATTATGCTTTTGGGTTTTTTCCCTCTCCTGTAGTAGGTTTTAGTGCATGTAAATGGTCTGCAAGGGCTACAATTCACGATGTAACACTCGCACTCCTATTGGCTAGCGCTCCAACACATTGTACGTGATAGGCTAAGGGGCGGGACATCTCTAAGTGGTTGACCAATAACAACAGAGCCGGCCAGCTAACCAATCAGAGCAGACTGGGCTCTGGTTTCAGACAGAGGGTGAAAAGAGGTGCTGCAGCTGAACATTAAAGCATGGAGACATGTCCCAGTAGAGACACTACATACTGATATACACCTGAACATCAGCAGGAGAGGACTCTTTAAAATAGAGACACTACATACTGATATACACCTGAACATCAGCAGGAGAGGACTCTTTAAAGTAGAGACACTACTGATATACACCTGAACATCAGCAGGAGAGGACTCTTTAAAGTAGAGACACTACTGATATACACCTGAACATCAGCAGGAGAGGACTCTTTAAAGTAGAGACACTACATACTGATATACACCTGAACATCAGCAGGAGAGGACTCTTTAAAGTAGATACACTACATACTGATATACACCTGAACATCAGCAGGAGAGGACTCTTTAAAGTAGAGACACTACATACTGATATACACCTGAACATCAGCAGGAGAGGACTCTTTAAAGTAGAGACACTACATACTGATATACACCTGAACATCAGCAGGAGAGGACTCTTTAAAGTAGAGACACTACATACTGATATACACCTGAACATCAGCAGGAGATGACTCTTTAAAGTAGAGACACTACATACTGATATACACCTGAACATCATCAGGAGAGGACTCTTTAAAGTAGAGAAACTACATACTGATATACACCTGAATATCAGCAGGAGAGTACTCTTTAAAGTAGAGACACTACATACTGATATACACCTGAACATCAGCAGGAGAGGACTCTTTAAAGTAGAGACACTACATACTGATATACACCTGAACATCAGCAGGAGAGGACTCTTTAAAGTAGAGGCACTACATGCTGATATACACCTGAACATCAGCAGGAGAGGACTCTTTAAAGTAGAGACACTACATACTGATATACACCTGAACATCAGCAGGAGAGGACTCTTTAAAGTAGAGACACTACATACTGATATACACCTGAACATCAGCAGGAGAGGACTCTTTAAAGTAGAGACACTACATACTGATATACACCTGAACATCAGCAGGAGAGGACTCTTTAAAGTAGAGACACTACATACTGATATACACCTGAACATCAGCAGGAGAGGACTCTTTAAAGTAGAGACACTACATACTGATATACACCTGAACATCAGCAGGAGAGGACTCTTTAAAGTAGAGACACTACATACTGATATACACCTGAACATCAGCAGGAGAGGACTCTTTAAAGTAGAGACACTACATATTGATATACACCTGAACATCAGCAGGAGAGGACTCTTTAAAGTAGAGACACTACTGATATACACCTGAACATCAGCAGGAGAGGACTCTTTAAAGTAGAGACACTACTGATATACACCTGAACATCAGCAGGAGAGGACTCTTTAAAGTAGAGACTCTACATACTGATATACACCTGAACATCAGCAGGAGAGGACTCTTTAAAGTAGAGACACTACATATTGATATACACCTGAACATCAGCAGGAGAGGACTCTTTAAAGTAGAGACTCTACATACTGATATACACCTTGACATCGGCAGGAGAGGACTCTTTAAAGTAGAGACACTACATACTGATATACACCTGAACATCAGCAGGAGAGGACTCTTTAAAGTAGAGACACTACTGATATACACCTGAACATCAGCAGGAGAGGACTCTTTAAAGTAGAGACACTACTGATATACACCTGAACATCAGCAGGAGAGGACTCTTTAAAGTAGAGACACTAAAGACTGATATGAAGCTGAAAATGATCCTGAAAAATCCTCTTTAAACTTGTGGAAGTATTTAATTCATAAGTCCTTGCAAAACAGGATTGTTCACTCACCCAAGAATGCTTGGAAACATCTCTATAATTCATAAACTACTAAACCCACGTGTAGTTTACTTCTTCTTCTTCTTCTTCTTCTTCTGTCCACTAACAGGATGATGTGGAGCCCACCATGCAAACACCTAACCACCCTGAAGGCTGTAACAAGCCATCTTTGACCACATGTCCTCTCTACCGTAACATCATACCACACAGGTTTCAGACTGGCATGCAGAATGTTTTCCTCATGGCACGGACACAAACAGACACCAATAATAACCTCCAACACAAGCATGTGTGGTCCTTGAGAGACTTCCTTTGTGTGTTTCTGTTAGTTTTTAAGTAGCTCTGGTGACTTCTTGGGACAAACAAGCATCAAGTTCCTGTCCCAGCTCCCAAAACCTCAGACTGAGCTCCACACACAGGACAGGAATCTGGGGTGAATGATAGAGTGTCTGACTCAATGCATGCCTTTTTGTTTTGTGTGGCACGGAGAATAAATCAACCCATTGGTACTGGACCGAACGTTGAGGTTTCCAACTGTTGACATCCCCAGAACAGCAGATATATATAATTTTTATTCTAGACATCATTTTTCAGCTTCCCCTCCTTATGTAATTTATTATAATAGCTTTCACTTTTCACATTGTGTCACTGGCAGCTTTGACTTCAAGCAGATGCCAATCGGTAATGAAGAACAAAAGCAACACATCTGCTGTGGCTTTGGCAAGAGTGCATCCAACATGGCCTCAAAG